CCGCCGCAGGGGACCTCCCCCCAGAGCAGCCAGCTGGTGGGTGCTCCAGGCCTGGCCCCCCATGGCCACCACCCGCCTCACACGGCTGGCTCCCAAAGCTTAGGTTCACGTTGTTACTGTTACTTACTCTCTACCTTCAAACTCAGTATTTAAATTTTGAGTGTCCAGCATGTTTGAAGTCTAAAGAATAACATCCACTTAAACCTCAGAACTGAGGCCCTAGATATCTGGGGGCGGTTGTGGCTCCAGGTGAGATTTTTAAAAAATTCTTAAATGTTTTTATTGATTCTAGAGAGAGAGGAAGGGAGAGGGAGAGAGAGAAACATGGATGGGCTGCCTCCTGCAGGCCCCCTCCTGGGGATGAGCCCCGAAACCAGGCCTGTGCCCTGACCAGGAATCGAACCCGACCCTTTGGGGCAGGACCCCCACCGGCAGGGTGGTTTGGGTGTTTTTTGAGATATAATTCACGGGGTCTAAGTGCACAGGTCAGCAGCTTGTATGTACTCACAGGGTTGTGAGCCATCACCACCATCCAATTCCAACCAGACCCCGGGCCCCCGAGCAGTCACCCCCATGGGTGCTGGCACATAGTAACGCACACGCGGCATCGGAACGGCACGGTCCGTCCTTGGCATGACCTCCCTCTCGCCCCCACAGCACACCTGCCCGCTCCGCCTCCCGCACGGGCATCTGGGACCCTCCCCAGTGAGCCTGGGGCGGCCCGGCAGGAGGGGAGGTGGTGGCAGCAAAGGTGTGGGGCAGGTGTGAGGGGGTGGCTGGTGGGAGCACCCATCGCTTGGTCCTGGTGGGTGGGGTCCAGGTGTGTGCCCGCTCCCCTGCGTGTGGTGGGTGGTGATTTAAGCTGCCATTTGCTCAATGTCTGTTTCCTTCGACCTCGCTCTCCGCCCCCTGCTGTGCCCCTGGCAGCACACAGGCCTCCCGCAGGAGAGGCCAGGCACCCGGGGTGGACTTCACGGCCGGTCACCACTCAGACGCACCTCCTCTGTGCCCGGCCTGGCACCTCACCCCCCCCAGGAGTGGATGAGGAAACAGGCTCAGTGACACAGTGTGTGTGTGTGGGGGGGGGCGGGGGGGTTGGGGACCTGCACAGGATCCACGTGCTGGAGCCCCCCAGGCTCTGAGTGTACCCTGAACTGAATGAATGAAAGCAGGGGCAGGATAGGGAGTGGGGAGAGAAGCTTCTAGGTGGGGAGACCTCCCCCCCCCCACATCTAGGTGGGTGTGTACAGGGAGAGGGTGGCCAGGTGGAAACCCTGCTGCCACATCACTACCCCCCCACCCCCCAGGAAAGGCAGGCAGGAGGGATGAACCGTCATGGGTGCTGGTCACTGGCAAGGTGTTTAACTAAATGGCCTTTTCACCAGGAGGTAATCAGACGGGCAGGGGAGCACCTTGAGTGTGTGTGTGGCGGGGGAGAGGGCGGCGGGCGGCCTGAGATCGCAGGATGGGCACAGGAGAGCTCAGGGCGGAGGGACAGAGAGAGGGCAGGAGGAGCTGGGCCAGGTGGTGTGAGTGTGGGGCGGGGGGGGGGTACAAAGCCAGGCCTGGAGGCAGCAGGAGACACAGACACCCCTTCTTCCTCTCCATTCATCGAGCGCCTACTGTGTACGGAGCCCCAGCTCCGTGGTTGTCCCTTTCTGTCACCAGCCACAGGAGCTTAGCTGCTGTTTCTCCCTAGTTCTCTCTGGGGGTCACCTCCTAAGCCCCCCCACCCCCCGCACTCTGCATTCTCTCCCCCACTCCAGGGCTCAAGAGGCTCCACGCACTGACGGCCCAGGCGGCCTACGAGCTGCACGTGGACCTGGAGGACTTTGACAACGGCACGGCCTACGCCCACTACCGGAGCTTCGGGGTGGGCCTGCTCTCCGTGGACCCCGAGGAGGACGGGTACCCGCTCACCGTGGCCGACTACTCGGGCACGGCAGGTAGGGCTCCAGCTGCGGGGGGCGCGGCGGCCCACCAGCCTCCCCACGGGGAGGACAAGGAGGTCCTGCAGGCAAGGCTTCCCCCCTCCACTCCTCCCCCGCGTCCCAGCTGGTCCGCATCCCAGCTGGAGTCTCCCTGTGCAGACCAGGGGCACCTGGGGTGTGGGCCCCGCTGGCCTCCAGAGCGAGGCGCCCCGGTCCTCGGGGTGGGTCCTCCTCTGAAGCCGATGGGAGAGAGCAGGGAAGGGCGTGTGAGGAGGGACAGCCGGGGGGACCCCAGGGGGGCGCGTGGGCTCCTGGGAGCTGCATGGACACCGCGTGTAAACTGGGGGCACGTGTGGACGTGTGTGCACGCGCGTGCCAGGGGTGCATCGTGCCCACGGGCCTGAGCGCGCCCCGTGTGCCCCAGGGGACTCCCTCCTGAAGCACAGCGGCATGCGCTTCACCACCAAGGACCGCGACAGCGACCACTCGGACAACAACTGCGCCGCCTTCTACCGCGGCGCCTGGTGGTACCGCAACTGCCACACGTCCAACCTCAACGGGCAGTACCTGCGCGGCGCGCACGCCTCCTACGCCGACGGCGTCGAGTGGTCCTCCTGGACCGGCTGGCAGTACTCGCTCAAGTTCTCCGAGATGAA